TTTCAAGCTTAAAGTGAGTTGTGGTCCTCACTGCATTCTCTCTTCAGTCATATCCATATTCATATCTATTTCGTATTTATATTTTAAGACTGAGAACTGACAGTTTCAGTTAGATTTCCCCTTCGCAATAATTCTCTCAAGTCTCTTCTAAAATGCAAACCAGTCAACTCTTGCCTTATTGTAATCTCTGGTGAAAGAAGTTCACTTATAAACTTTTATGAAGCCTCTCCATTAGCTGAAGCATTCAGTGGTGATAAACCTGAAGGGTTCTACAGCCATCTGCAGGAATGCATTGATACTGTGGCAGAACAGTGTGTCACTACTTCCTGGGGGTTTGTTCCTCAGGTGAGAAAGATATTAATTGGAATATAACGGATGGGCAAGTATTGATCATTACCAATTCATCTAATTATGAAATATGAATCAGACTTCTTGAGAACACTATTGCATCATAATAATACGCTGCATAGAATTTTCAAAGTTAGAGTGCAGAAATATAATAAACACTGTTAAACAAAAAAAACACTCTTCCACATCTGCCTTTGTTAATAATCAGTACTTTTATGCATTTTTGACACAAACAGAACATAAAACTATCACCTCTGTTACTTACAAGTAATCTTAGCAATGTCATAGTGTCATCTGGTAAGTGGTTTGACACTAAACATACTAAGGGACAAAATTAAGTTTGCTTTCAATGGTGTTGTAACCCTCACCACAATTACAGTGCACCAACAAAAGCAGCTGCCCTGATATCAAATAAAGCATTGCAGCTTGCAAGGAAAGTGACAACTGCTAACAGCAGACAGACAAAGTGAAGTGATTAACAGACCTGTTGCTACAATGAGATATATAAAATAAGCATGCAAACATTTTGTATTTAATACACTAGTACCCAGAGTTCCCCCAAGTGAGATGACAGTCTCACTACTATAGGCCATTGTCCCAGTGCATATGAAGCTGTCTGCTATGTAACACTGTCTTCGTTGCATCTTTCTGAAGAGACTGTGGAACAATTACTGAATTTTAATAGGGCGCTTTAATTTAGGGGAGAAGGGTGGTTTTCTGCATTTTGGTGGAGTTTTGGGGTTTTGTTTGGGTCTTTTTACACATGGGATGATAGTGATTACAGAAGCATGTAGTAAACCAGAGAGCTGGAGCACATGTTCAGGAGTATCTGCTGCCCTATGGCCTTTTTATTGTATTATCCTTCTCAGGGATCAGACTGGTGAACTTGGGATTCCGATAGCAGCAAAGGTGGTAACTACTAGTGAAAGAGCTAAGAACTGCTTTGTGTGCTCAGTTGCTCAGAAGGTGTGTTGCAATTAAAGCAGTGCAGCTGTAGGATCCCCCCCACAACAGATATTTATTTGGGGAATGTAACCAAATTGACTGCAAAGGTCAGGGTAGATAAAAATTTGACATTGCCTATTACAAATGTCTTCGAGAAGTGAACATGTGTAACTGCAAAAAAAAGACACTCTTCAAAAATCTTTGCTTATTGAACTATAAAAATTACAGAAAGAGAGATTGTGTTGTCCCCAATGTTTGGGGAGCTTAAAGAGATGATTCTAGTCATGTTACTATAGTAAGGGCAATTACCTTGAAAAAATAAATTATAGGGAGACTGCAACTATTTAAGGAAATAACAAAATTTTTGTTAGAATGTTTGTCACAAGAATGCATAGATGCTTGTGAATTGCTTTACGTGTCTTTGCTTCTATAAAAGTATTTGCTGTATCAAAACAATTTTTTATCATGTTTATTATTTATTATTTCAATAGCTTTTTTGTTGTTACTGCCTTCCCACTCTGTCTTCATTTTTGAGGCTTTTATTTACCACATAGAAAGGAGAATCTAAACACCGTGTGCAAGATGAAAAATGAATAAAAATTGACGGTGGTTTTTCCAGTGTTTTTGTTTAATACATTGAGGCATGACACAATAACAACAAAAAAAATTCTTGGCATGCTAGTGTAAGTTCACACCAGCCTGGCTTTTGCAGCCCTCTTATTTCCCTCTGCCACAACTCTGCCGCTGCTATGACACTTGCAGCCCTGCTCGGCCATGGTGCAGCTGATGCCCTGTCCATGCTCATATTTTTCTTATTGACAGTGAGTGTTCTTGCCAAACGCCAGGGACCATAGTCACATCTGTTTGTCTCCCAAGCTTGTCTGAGGCTGCTTGGGAACACTTTTTATCCAGAGGGCAGCTTTAACTAGGCCTAATACTCTGAAAAGCCTCTATTTGTAAATGCATACAACGAGGCGACAAGTTCCTGTTGTCTTTCCTTTAAAATTATTCCATTTGACACTGCTTGCTCCAGTGCCTGTCACCAGCACATCAAAAGCCAAGTTTTCAGGCAAGGTGGTCTTAACAAGTTTTATTTTTTCCCTAATAAAATGCCTAGCTTCCCTCCAGAGCACTATTTATAAATGATAGCTGGAAGCAAGCTAGGGGTAAGTAGAGAGAAGTCAGGCAAATAGCTTGCTTCCTTTCTGTAATCCACAATCTCCTGATTTAATGCTAAGAAACATAATGCTGAACTTAGCCTGATTGAGAGTCAGAGTTCTCCCCACTTTATAATACGCCCATTACAAGCATTTCAAAATGTACTGTGCAGCTTCAGAATACTACTTCATTTTGTCTAACCTGCTGGTTCCAGAGCAGTGATAGTTCTTGTCTGTTCCTTGTAAAAAATTTTTTTAAAAAACCTTTTTGTTTTGCCATGATCTACATTGACAGTGCCTATCAAATGTTAAGGCCTGCTGAAAGCAAATGCCGCTTTAGAATCACAAGTTAGCTTAATGTTTGATGTTAGTGGCCATAAAACCAGATTTGACAAAGCTTAATTGGTACTCTAGCATATTGTTATTTATTTGTGGCGTACAGAATTTTTGACAACAACAAAGAAATACCCACTCTAACCTTGGCTGGTGATCGGGTTGTTGTGCTCGGCAAAGGCGAATGATTCATTTATGCTGAAGGAACAAGGCTGCCTTTCAGACATTCATTGATTTTAAATTAAAAAGTAACTGCTATGTTCTACATGAAGGGTGACAACAATAACAAAGTAGTCCTTACTTAGTGTTATTTGTTGCAACTCCATTCCATGTGCCTGAAGGAAAAGTCGGGAGACCCTAGTACCATAATCTTACAGATCAATAATCTAGATATCTCAATGTAGTGTAACAGATAATCAATTCTGGGTAAAATAACTCAAACACTGCTAGCTGTTACTGCTGTGGCTCAGGTCTTCAGGTTCAATTGACTGACTTTATTAATTTTTATCTTTCATCCTACTTGTATTCCTGGAGACTTTCTCCCTTTTTCATTCAGAAGAGAAAACAGTTGCACACTGTTCAACATGTAATTTACCACACAATTTATTCTTCATGTTTAGTAGCAATGTTATATATTGATATGTTGATGATTAAACATCCCTTAAATATTTTATTCTAAGAATTGTTTCCCCATATTGTATTTAAAAAGTACTTTTCTTTATTGTACAATCAATCATGAAAGGGTTACAGTTCTTGATTTCTGTCTAAATTTAGATCTGAAATCACTGTATTAATATACTAGTTAAACTGTGTTCAGTTTCTGGATGTTAAAATAGGATGCAGTTTCAATTTAGAAGAATTGCAAGGTAAACATCTGTTTCAAAACAAAGATGATTAAATAAGTGTTGACATAGGGGTTTATTAGGTGAAGCTAGAGTGCATTTCTGTGTGAAACAAATTTCTTGGAATATTTTACTATTTAAATAAAAGCACTGTGGTACTTGTTAATTTACTGTAACTTTTTAGAAGTATGTAGAAGATTGTACATTGTCATCTTTTTCATCAAGGCCTTGTTGTCACTCTTGTACATTATTGAGCAGTTCTGAGGTCTCTCAACATCGTAAGACCATTTGTTATTCATTTAGAAGCTGCACAGCTTTAAAAAGTTTATAAATGCAGTAAAGGATAAGTCATATATCCACGCTGAAACCAGATCCCATGAGTGACAGTGTTACTATGCTCCAGTAGACTGTCAGATACAATTCTCAGCTTGTAATTTTATCAAAATTCACTACGCTTCTGTGGTAAGAATCACACTTCTCAGTAACATTTATGGAGACGTATTTAAATTGTGGAGTTTAGAAATTACTGCCTTTTCACCCCTTCTGTTCTAGATCTTTTAAATAAAAAAAGCCAGCTCCATATACTTCATTCAACAGGCACTGTACATTGCTTTAAGAAAAATAATAACTAAATTGATCATTAAGATTATATTCCAAAATTAAATTATTGGAAATTCCAAATTTACTCTTTTCTGTGGTACCTGACTTCTAATAGCTGGCTTTAATGCAATAAGATTTGCTTGTTCACCATCCTCTGCAGCTCCAACAATTTTCCAGTCTCTGAGTGTAAGCTCATAATTGTTTAACGAGTATACCAGATACAGTGCTTCCATGTTATCATTCTCCAAACTTGCCAGTGAATTAGAAGACAAATTGCTGTGCTACAAATTTATTTCATGCACCTTTTAAGAGTTTACTGTTTCATGTTTTCTCATTCATTCTTCATCTTACCTTAAAAAAAAATTGATAATGCTTTTCATGTAATAAATGTTGTTCTGACAGTCAGGCGTTACTAGCCAATTGATAACCTACCAACAGTATTGTGATCTCTTTAGATAATTAATCTTAGCTATTTTCCTGTCAAGAGCAACAGTGTTTTTGTTTTATGTTGAGCTAGAAAGATTGCCAGTTTTGAAAATTAAAAAGCATTCCCTTTATATTATTCATTCCAGTAACAATTTATGATGCTGCATTTAGATACTGAGCACTTGTCAACAAACATAATTATGCTTCGATATAAACAAGATTGGTGGCTTGACTGTGCAGCTTCATCTTGGTTGAGAATGTTTTGATATAGGTTCAGATTGTACAAGCTGTGTATTTATGTGGTGGTTTTCTTCCTTTGTTAATAGTTTTCTCCTATAATTACTTGCAGGCAAACCAGTGTACATTTAGGATCATTGTGCATGGGAGACATCAAACGGAGAAGGAAAGCTGCTCCCCTGCCAGGACCCACAGGTAACCAATTTCCCTGGGACAGAACATAAAACACAAGATGTTAAATCTCTAAATACAAAGCAGTAGGTCAGTGACCTGGGGAAATGCTTGATAAATTCAGTAACTTCCCATATAACTTCAGATATGTCCTATCCTTATTTATTAAATAGAGATTAAGAAATAAATAGGCTCTCTTAATTCTCCCTCAAAACATTTTCAATTTCTAGTCCTTTGTATCATGACACTTCTTTAAAGAGAATAAATCTTTTTTCATATACTGAGAATCATAGACACCAAAGATTACTGTTTATGTCTATTCAAGCATTACAAGGTAAAAGACATGAGGTATCTCTTTTCTCTGAGGAATGTATATGTATACCATAAATACCCTGCACAATAAAGATGGGATGTGAATTCTCAGGCAAACAATTGAAAATGTGGAGATAAGGCTGTGAAACACAGCTTTAAAATTAGTACTGTAGATTAAATAGAAAGCACTTGCAATACATTTCTGAAAGATTTTTACAGATGCGAGGTCACAGTCATTGGATGCATTTTGCTGATGTCACAGCTGTGAAATGACTTTTTCAATACTTAGCAGTGATTTATAGGACTCTCATCAGTTTGTTGTATTAATTATAGATGAGCATACTGGAAGGATTAGATTGTGTGTGCCTGTGTGAGGCTTTTTATATATTGCTAATATGGAAATCTAGATTGCATGTCCTAGTCATGTATCAATTACTGCAGCTACATATGTAACACATGCAGTTAGTTCTTCAAATATATTCTAAACAGATGTCTTTAGAGAAGCCGAATATTTGTATTCCAAATGGATTCCCCCTCCTGAAACTTCTTTGTTTCACACCGCAGTGGCAGAAACAGACCAAGAATAATATTAAAAATGCTATAAAATCACCTTAGTGGCAGCAATATGGAAAAAGAGAATGTATGGGTCAGCTTCTAAGACTCTGAACATATGTGAAGTGAGAAAGAAAAATACTTAATGGCTGAAGAGAGAATAATATAATTATTTCTACAAGGTGATTTTCACTTTACAACTTTCAAGTACTAGAGGATGTCATTTCGTACTGAGAGGGTATGAAGTATCATGAAATTAATTTTATTATTCATTTTACCTTGGACTTTCAGCGTTCAGTATTTTATTTTACAAGCTGGCTCCTCTGCATAACTTTGCAAAGCCAATATTTTGATACTAAGTCAAATATATAATGTGGTCATTTAATGTTACGTATCTATATATTCGCAATTTTAGAGATTGTTTTGGCCCCAAAATTTGCCTTTATATGGAGAGTGACAAAGAATAATGGCGGATAAAGGTGTCATATGAGGTACCTTTTAATTAACATGTGGTTTTTTCTTTTCAAGTTCAAGGTAATATTTTCAATTTTGTTCTGGGCAGAAGGATTGAGAATTTTTTCTGTGATCTTATAGAAGTTTTTTTCTGCATTTCATCACAGTAAATTTTTAAGCAAACAGAAACTTTGGTAAACTTCCAGTAAACTTGTACATATGTATAGGTAATGTGTAACATTTTATGAATTATTACAGTTTTATCAAAGGCTAACCTTCCTGCAGCTAAAATATTATTTATCCATCACAGGCCTTGTTTGTTTGTCAGTATTTCATACCCTTTTGTGAAAGAAACAGGGTTTCCTTTTAGAATGGAAATACATTTGGAAAGTTGAATTAAAATGAAAGCATTATTTGATTATTCTTCTTTCAGTAATTTTAGTTAGATATAGGAACAGGAGGACTAGATTTTCTGTGGAAGAATTTGTAAACTTCTTTCTTGAAAGAAAGGACGAAAGCTGTATAATTACATGAACAAAAGTTGGAAATGAAGCATTCTTCTAATAATTGTCCATATTTAAGATCAAAGTGAAACCTGAAAGTCTATCAGTAAATGAGTCTTTAACTGCAAATGTTTTCTTGAGCTACATGTGCTGCAAATTAGCATTTTCCCCTAATACGAGCGAATCCATTGAAAAAAATATTTTCACATTTCTCGTCTGCATTTTTTGAATAAATTTTATCAGTAAATTAATTCCTGTGGCACTATGCAAAGTGTTGAAAATGGCCATTTATACGTTTAAGTTCAGTAGTACTGAAGAAAATGACCGGTGATCCTAATGAAGTGTTGAAACGTTCTCTGGTTTTGAGTCCCACAAGGGTAGCACCTGCTACTTTCAGGCACCTTACAAAGCCATAGACTTCTGTAGCAAGCAGTGTTACTGGTTAAACATTTATTAATTGTGACAAGAACACCCAATTTATTTCAGTACTCCAGCTTATTTACTGCTCTTTCACCTTTGTATTTTGTATTGAAAAAGTAAAATGAATATTGATAGAGTTAGATATTGATTTCTAAATTTATAGCCTGTTTTCAGCCTGGAGTCAAAGTCACATACCAATAGGTTTGTGTATATTAGTAACAAAGGATGTAGATTTACTTGTACAGCAATGAGAAACTATTGAAGCAAGAAAGTTTGAGCAGCACAGAGCATTTTATAGTTTCAAAAATGTCATTTATAAAGGTGAAGAAAAGCTGTGTTGAAAAGCAGTGAAGTAAATGGGAGATAATATAGGTGTGGATTGTTAGGAGCTGACAGTACTGAGACAGGAATGTCCTATTCTGCCTTTTTTACTAAGATAAATTTTCTGGTTTGTGGATGCTTTATAGAGCCCCATTAACTGAACCAGGGTAGTTAATTAGTTTAGCAACTAAAAAAAGATGCTAGTAAAAATTGTTTACTTCCTATGGTTTAAGAATTAGGTGTTGTACATTATAAATATCTACTTTTTTTGCACAGCTTCTTCCATGAAACCAGTATTATTTCGGTGATTCTATTCAGATTTGGGACCAGGTCATCCTCAATGAGTTTAATCCCTCTCTGTCTACCTGAATAGTAGAGCTATTTCATATGACATCCTGACGTATTTCACTGAAGCAATACAGTGCCCTCAAGTTTGTATAAAAACCTCTTCGATGAAACTAATACATTATCATGGAAGTAGGCTTACCCAAACTGGGTCCAGTATTAATGATAATAATAACAAAACCACAGTAAAAAATAATTTGTATGCAAGAGAAAGAACATTCTCTGCAAAGTATTGTTACTATTTGAAACACATGCATTGGGAATGTTTACAGTAATTTCAGTCTTAGATTACCTAGTTTATGTCTCATATCAAACCAGTAGATGCTACAGAATTTTAGGTGCCATGTTCATATACTGAATAGACATTTACCCAAGTTCCTTTCCTATTGACTATCTTTTTCTGTACAAGCTTTTTTTCTCAATGAGTTCCTGTTATATCCCCAAGACTTTTTAGGTTTTTTTTGTTTTTTAATAAGAAACATCTAAGTCTTAAATGTTGGAAAAAATCATCAAATTCTGCTTTACTTATTCATGGTAATAATTTACAGAATGTAGAAACTTTGATTCAGAATAAAAAAAAAAGTTTAGTTTTACATGTGTGCCTTGTAAATAGCCATTTATTTCTATTTGAAAACAGTCTTTTTGATCTGATGGTTCCATAACATGGTTTACAGTTTGGAGCAGAGTTGAAAACGTGCAAAAACTAATTTTAAGAAGAGAAAGACCATTTTGTACTTAAAATACAGAGAATGTGCAAATAACATAGATAAAATGTTGTGCGTGTCATGGGCACTTTAATACTTATATTTTGCAAAAGCAAATTTTAGATGTCATTTTCTTTATCTAGTTGCCATGTTGCATGCTACACTTCAGGCTGGTAATGATTGAAATGACCAAGTTATAAGTCTCATTTTAAAGAATGTGTTTTAATGAAAAATATGACAGATTCTTAATTACAGCAGAAATACTGAGCACTGCTATAATGCCATCATGACTCACTTTAACAAGGTAATCAAAAGGGTACATGTTTTCATTCCTTTTTAAAAATTGCCAATGGAACAGCTAAGCAAACTATTTTGCTGATGCTTAATATGTCATTGATTAAAAATCAGACCTGAATATCTGCAGTACCAAAATAATGATTTGAAAAAGATTGTGATTACACTGTGATAACAGAGGTGGCTGAAGCTAAGTTTGTGGTGAAGGTCAACTTAGTGAGATAGTTGCAGGGAAGGACTAGACTTTTTTTGTATTTGGATAAACTAGCAGTAAATTTCCCAAACTCTAGACAAGCTATTATATGCCTACTTTCTTTTTAACTTGATTCACTGCTTTTCTTCTACTAAATGTACAACTCCATAGATAGAAATCCCTTGTCACAGGGCAATACAACATTGCCATGTGTTGTGAACACTTTCCCTTGTTGCGTTGCACCATTTCTGGTCCATAGTCTACCAAAGACCTTTCTGGCATAGACAGCATATTTGCTTGATTGTCTGACCTATGGATACTCTTTTTTGGTTGGTTGTTTTCTGCCACAGATTAAATTTTAGGGATTCCTTTCTGTTTCTTTGTTTCTCCTACCATATCATCTCACTAAATTGGTTCAAAAACGTAAAGATCGCAGAGTGCCATCCAGTATTGGAAACTGCTGTCCCTCCAGAACAAAGGACATTTCCTGTTGAGCTTGAGGTCATTGGTTCAGGCAGGGCCCCTTACATATAAACACTGGAGGAACTAGAAGAGTTCAGTAACAGACTTCAAAAGAAAAGATCCACAATGCAACAAGAACCAAGCTTATAATGAGAATTTGATGATGGATTTCTTGTGATCTAGAGAGAAGACAATATTATTCAGGCTGTACATACAGCCAACATAAATTCAACAAGAAATCTTCAGGTTGATAGAAGAAGACTCTACCTGTCTTTTCTAAATGCTGTTGTCTTCTGAAATGTGGAAGGTTCAAAAATAATTCCCCAAATTACTCTGGGAGTCTTTTCTGTGGTAGCTGGTTTGAGTTGTGAAAAGCAGTCAAATTGCCTTCATTGGGAGGTGGACTCAATGATCCCTATGGGTCCCTTCCAACTTGAGATATTCTGTGATTCTATGGATTTTTTG